GGCTTCGCAGACAACCCGAACCCGACTCGATCCACAACACCCTCTAACCCCAACCCCCGGCAACTTCGAAACCAAGGACTTCCCGAAACCACGACCAGAAAGCGCTCCCAGGAAAGCCATTTTTGTTGCTTTTGCTTTCGAAGGCCCTCCCCACCTCACGCGGGGGCTCCGGTGACCAAGCAGTGAGGCTCGTACTGCCGGCGAGGATTTGTGGCTTCAGGGGAGAGTTTAACCCTAAACCCTAAACCCTAAACCCTAAACCCTAAACCCTAAACCCTAAACCCTAAACCCTAAACCCTAAACCCTAAACCTTCATACGTCTTTCGTGCATGCTCCAGAACGCCTGACTGTTTAGCTCCAAGGTCCCTTAATTTATAGAGAGTTCCATCGATCTCTAGTTTGGGGGGAGGGGGGGGTTAGGGTTTGGTGTATAGGGTTTCAGGTTCAGGGTCAGGGTTTAAGGTTTAGGGTTTAGGGTTTAGGGTTTAGGGCTTAGGGTTTAGTTTAGGGCTTAGGGTTTAGGGTTTAGGGTTTAGGGTTTAGGGCTTCAGGGTTCTCCAGCTGTCATGGAGGCTGCAGTGAGAGTTGGCCCAGCAGGCGTGCCACCCACAACACCTTGAAGCCGCATTAAGAGCAACAAGCCCTGATTACAAACCTATGGCCGTGCTAAACCCTAAACCCTAAACCCTAAACCCTAAACCCTAAACCCTAAACCCTAAACCCTAAACCCTAAACCCTAAACCCTAAACCCTAAACCCTAAAAAAAAACACCTAAACCCTAAACCCTAAACCCTAAACCCTAAACCCTAAACCCTAAACCCTAAACCCTAAACCCTAAACCCTAAACCCTAAACCCTAAAAACCCTAAACTCTAAACCCTAAACCCTCAACCCAAGAAGCTTTGAAGTGCTCAGTCTGCGGCTCGCCGACATCCGCCAGGGCAGCCCGATACGCAGCCTGGCTTCGGGGGGGCTTCAGGGCTTCAGGGTACAGGGCATGCAGGGTTGAGGGTTGAGGGTTGAGGGTTGAGGGTTGAGGGTTGAGGGTTGAGGGTTGAGGGTTGAGGGTTGAGGGTTGAGGGTTGAGGGTTGAGGGTTGAGGGTTGAGGGTTGAGGGTTCAGGGTTAAGGGTTAAGGGTTGAGGGTTGAGGGTTGAGGGTTTAGGGTTTAGGGTGTAGGGTTCAGGGTTCAGGGTTTAGGGTTTAGGGTTTAGGGATGCAGGGCTTGGAAGGCTTTAGGAGAGTTCTAAGGCTTGTGGGGCAGGCTTATTTAGGCGTATCGAGCTTTGCAAAGTTCGCGTCTGGCCCTTTCATGAAGAGTCCGATATGGCCAGCATTTTTGGCTTTCAGTGGCGGGCTCAGGAATGCGAAATGCTCTTGCGCCCGAAGCCGGCAACCCTTTCTTGTGGGAGTACACGCAGGGTCTCCGGGATAACGGCAAACCATAACCCGCAAACCTCAAACTCCAAATCCTAAACTCCCAGCTTGCAGGTTCTCAGAGCCAAGTCAGGAGCAGGCTAAGGGGCCTAAAAACCCTCACAGACCCAGGCGAAACCATGCACCTAGCCCTACATCAAATTTGTCAAAGGCCAAAGCCCATACCCTAAACCCTAGACCCTAGACCCTAGACCCTAGAGACCCTAGACCCTAAACCCTAAACCCTAAACCCTAAACCCTAACCCTCCCCGCCCTCGGCCTGGAAGGTCCCCGGGCCTACGCCTGGCCGCGGGGGGGCCAAGGAGGGGGTGAGCCATTCTGAGCCATTGTGAGCCTGAGGGCTTCTGAAATCAGTCCTTGGGGCCTAAAAATGGTTTGCAAACATCTCGACCCTTTGACAAAACACTGCCTTTACTCACAACACCTGGCGGTTTAGAGGGGATAGAACTCTAAACGCTTGAGGGGTGAGTTTTTGAACTCACCAGCCGGCATATCCCAAAATCAGAACACCCTCAGCCCCACTGCCTGGCTTTAACCCCACGGTCCCTTACGCCCCCCAACGCTGCCACCCTGAACCCTAAACCCTAAACCCTAAACCCTCAACCCTAAACCTAAACCCAGAAGGTCTTCAAGGCCCCTTTCGTGCCCAGATGTGCTCAGGCCCCCGCCGCGGAAAAGGGCATCAAAGGCCTCCTGGCACGCAACCCCGGCTAAGTTGCGTGGAAACTCGCGCCAACAATGAACTGGAACTGCATCCCCCCCCCCTTATCCTCAAGAGCCCCATTGTCAAAGTACAAAGCCGCCAGCACGACTATAAAGACCTGTAGCATGTGATTTTGCCAGCCCAGGCTTCGGCACTCTTCGTGGGCCCCCTAAAGGATGGGAGAGGAAGCCTGGAATCCCAAAAAATGCGCTCCCCTTTACAGGTGAGAACGCGGGGGGAAGTGTGAGTAAAAGCCCGTCCTAACTGAAAAGATCTGAAAGATGCCTCTGCTACTGCTACTGCTACTTGGAGGTTCATGGTACTTCTTCACCAATTATAACTCTACTTATAACCATATTAGGGCACTTAAGGGGCTTGTAAGTGGGTTATAAGCACAGTAATGATTGGTTAATAAGTACCATGAACCTCCAAGTAAGCTGGGCAGGGATTGCCTCCGCACCGACCGGGAGGTCGCAGCCAGGAAACTTGTGCTTCAGGGGCTCCATGGCCAAACAGGCCTCAGGTTGAGATCTCATGGGTTTAGGGTTTAGGGTTTAGGGGGTTTAGGGGGTTTAGGGTTTAGGGTTTAGGGTTTAGGGTTTAGGGTTTAGGATGGGGCCCTATTGCCGGTGTCACCTCGTCTTTCGGGGTTTGGTTCCGGGCTTCTAGCTTTGCAGCGTTTGAGGTCCAGCGCGCAAGACCGTGGACAAAGACGCGGGCACGGGGCACGGGGTTGTTTGGAACTTGCGTCGCTTTGACGGGTGCGGAATTCTACAGGATCTTTCGTGCAGAGCAAACAGCCGCGACGCGCGACGAAGGCCGCAGAGGCTTTGGAACAGCTTTGCCGACCGGGGTCAATGTGCAGGCCACCTCGCCAAGAACGCTGCCGAGCTGCCGCGCATCTGACGGCTTTACTCGCTTAATCGCTTGATCATGCTTGGGATCTGATTTTGCAAGGGCATGGCGCGTGCTGAAACGCGCCTCTTGTGCGAACAGCATCAAGACTCCTGAACCCTTATTCCCGAAACCCTTTAAGCCTACAAAAGGGGCCTTAATAATTGGAATAGGGTTTTGGGGCTACAGTATAATTATATAGAGGCCATAACCTAAACCCTAAACCCTAAACCCTACACCCTAAACCCTAAACCCTAAACCCTAAACCCTAAACCCCAATAGTAAGCTTGCCGTAAGCCTTAGAAAGGGCTGGGGGCCCAGGCTGAGCAAGGTCGGATCGATGCCAGGCGGGCGATGGTGTCAAGCCGCAAACGTGGGCGGAGCACGGGTTTGGGGGGGTTTAGGGTTAGGGTTTAGAGTTTCGAGTTTAGGGTTTAGGGTTTTGGGTTTAGGGTTGCCGTTAACATCCGCTAACTCCAGAAGTCCCAGCAAACTAGCGCAAGTCTCCTGACGTCTCGAACCGCAGCTTTTGGTCTAGGATGCAGGTTTGAGTTTGGGGGGTTCGGATTACACTGCGAGTCATGCCTTTATCTAGTGGCGCCCGCGTACTCAGACTATTCCACGGCAAGCCCAAACCCGCAACTTTCAAATCCTGAATACCCCAAATCTTAAACCCCAAGCACTCGATCCCACCCAAAAGAACCCGAGCCCTTCGCCCTGGGCCTAAGCTCTCTGTCGTCCGGAGTACGGCGGGACAGGAGCTGTCTTGGGGTTGGGCATTTTGGACTGTGAGGCAGGCACGCTCTATGACTAGCTGCCCCTCATGCCCCAAAGCTATCTCCACACCATCGTCAAGCTGAAACTGATCCCTTCTCAAATTCTCAACGATACTTTCCCGCACATATGGGTGTCAAAATTATGATCCCTTGTGGGGTACCCTAAATATTAGGTGCCGTATCATAAGAGGGATCCAATAAGGGACCCTAATTTTGACAGCCACCCATATGGCCACCAGGTATATACACTCACCAATATTAAAAAGGAACCTTATATACACTCACCAATGACAGTAATATATACCCTGCTTCATATGAAAAGGAAGCTTTTTTGGGGGAAGCATAGGGCAAGCCCTTAGCCCCAACATCCCCAGCGAGCTGAGGTCCTAATCTGCTTGACCATGTCTGCGAAGCGGAGGGTGCCTTGGGCAGAGCAGGAAAAACTAACGAGCTTGGGGGGTTTAGGGTTTAGGGTTTAGGGTTTAGGGTTTAGGGTTTAGGGTTTAGGGTTTAGGGTTTAGGGGCAGAGGGTTTAGGGCTTAGGGGCAAAGGGCTTCGACTTTTTCCGTGCCGGCTTCTGCCAAGGCTTCAGGATTCGGTCCTGTTTGGAGCTTCGGCTTGCGTGGGAGCTTCCGGGAACACGTGCTACCACAAACAACTCAGACTCTAAGCCCTCACTGGAGCTTAGGGTCGCGTGGGTTCTTCGTTGGGCTTTCAGGCTTCCGGGAAGCAACATAGGGCTTGAAGGCATCCGCATTGTAAGTCCTGGGGATTGACTCTGGATTTGCGATCGAGGCTCAACACATTAAACTCCACAACTCCCTACTTGGTTCATGTGCTGCAGTGCTGATTTCTGACCACGTGTCACCATGCTCTTCAGCAAGTGGTGCTGCGCGCCAACCTTTTCAAACCCCAGCAAACGGACCCGGGCGTGGCCACGCCACTAGCCTCAAACCTGAACGCTTGGAAACAAAGCCAATAAACCTGTTTAGGGTTTAGGGTTTAGGGTTTAGGGTTTAGGGTTTAGGGTTTAGGGTTTGAGCCTCAAAAACCCGAACTTCAGCGCCCTCCAGAACCCCAAGACCAAGTTGCTTAGGGTGGTTTCGGAGGGCCCGCGGCCGGTGTACGAAGCCCGAAACCCGAAACCCTAAACCCTAAACAAATTCGATAGGTCCCCCCCAAAGCTCCCGGCTCAGCGTCTCGTCCAAGTCGGAGCTGGCTGGGCTTAAGGCCGCCACCATCCTCACTTCCGGGATCGATCTTTGGGAGGTTTAGGGTTTAGGGTTTAGGGTTTTAGGGTTTTAGGGTTATAGGGTTATAGGGTTTAGGGTAGGGTTTAGGGTTTAGGGTTTAGGGTTTAGGGTTTAGGGTTTAGGGTTTAGGGTTTAGGGTTTAGGGTTTAGGGTTTAGGGTTAGGGTTTAGGGTTTAGGGTTTAGGGTTTAGGGTTTAGGGTTTAGGGTTTAGGGTTTAGGGTTTAGGGTTTAGGGTTTAGGGTTTAGGGTTTAGGGTTTAGGGTTTAGGGTTTAGGGTTTAGGGTTTAGGGTTTAGGGTTTAGGGTTTAGGGTTTAGGGTTTAGAGTTTAGGGCGGTTTCCAAAATGAGGGGTGCCCTTTTTTGGGGGATCCCTGTTCAGAGGATTCTATTCTATTTGGGGTATATACAGGGGGTACCCCCTATTTTGGGGAAGTAGCCATTCTTCTTGTCATCAAGCTAAACCCTAAACCCTAAACCCTAAACCCTAAACCCTAAACCCTAAACCCTAAACCCTAAACCGTGGGGCTTTAGGTTTTAAAGGGCAGGGGATGATCGGTTTTGCTTTTCCCGGCAGGGAGGGGGCCGCGGGGGGCCGTGGGGCTAAAGGGACTCTTGGCTCTGTCGACGTTAGGGGGTTTAGGGTTTAGGGTTGGGGGTTAAGGGTTAGGGGTTAGGGTTTAGGGTTTAGGGTTTAGGGTTTAAGGGTTTAGGGTTTAGGGTCTGATTCTTCTCACTTAGAAGTTTCGGGCTCCGCGCACCCGGAGAGGGCGAATGGGCCCTCAACCTTCTTCAGTCACCCTGAGGGGTCCCGGTGCGCGAGTTTCCGCTGAGCGAGTTGGCCAAAAGCAGCGTCCTCGGCCGGATCTATCAGGTTTATCCGCTGGGCTCGGAGGGAGATAAGTTTAAGGTGGGGCGAAGAGTTTGGGAGTTCAGGTACTTGGCATATAAGCTTGGGGCGTCGTGGCTTGCGCTTCATCTGCCTGCAAGACCTCGACACGACTTCCAGGCCTGAGTTTGGGGTAATGAAGGCTTGCTGGCTCGAAGCCCTGTTCAAGGCATGTTATCACAAAGCTGGCTCTTTCTTATCTGGGAGGTAGCCGAGGTACAAGCATGTCCTACTGACTTGTACAGCCGGCACAAAAGGACTGGAACCGAAATCACCTGAAGTCCTGGTAGCCCTAAACCGCCCTAAACCCCGAACCCTAAACTCTAAACTCTAAACCCTAAACCCTAAGCCCTAAACCCTAAACCCTAAACCCTAAACCCCGAACCCTAAACTCTAAACTCTAGACCCTAAACCCTGAACCCCAAAAGACCCTGCACCCCCCCCAGACCCATGCAGCCGGGGTCCCGAAGAATGAAGGGATGTCTGAGAAGATGTATAATATCTTAAGACACCTTAGAATATCTTAAGGATATCTTCAGGATGTCTGAATAATTTCTTTAAAATGTCTTAAGGATATGTTTAGAATAGCTTAAGAATATCTTAGGAATATCTTGGGATGTCTTCCGACCCTTCGAACACACCCATGGGGCCCATCCGAGGGCCCTGGCAGGCGGCTGTTCCGAAAGGCGAAGTCGGTGGGCGTCACTTTGCGGCCCTGGCATCTTCACACCAATTGAGGGAGGAAGGTCTTTGGGGGTCTTCAGAGGGCTTTGGGGCTTCGGGGCTTTTGTTGGGCCTCTGAAGCTTTGGTGCTCTAAGGCAGAAGGTTGAGCCTTCTGGGATTTGATGGTGGGATTTGGAGCGTTAGGCGCTCTCTTGGATCAAGATGTTCAGCGAGTTGCTTTGATGGGTTTGCGGCTGGAGGGGTTCAGGCGGTTTAGGGCCCAGACGACGAGGGCCGCTGGAGAACCATATGCAGTCCTGAAATCTCCGAAGCCCCCATGAGCACTGAAATAGAAGATCCGACGAAAAGCCCCGAACAAGGAACCCAAAGGAGTGCACCTTGGAGGCACGCCCCTAAACCCTAAACCCTAAACCCTAAACCCTAAACCCTAAACCCTAAACCCTAAACCCTAAACCCTAAACCCTAAACCCTAAGGAGTGCACCTTGGAGGCACGCGAGAGGTTGATGATGCAGGTGGAGAGGTGAAAGAGCGATGTGTTGATAAATTGCCGCTCGCGCCTCTTGTGTGGAGCAGGGCGGGTTTAGGGTTTAGGGTTTAGGGTGTAGGGCTTAGGGCTTAGGGCTTAGGGCTTAGGCTTTGGGGTTTGGGGTTTGGGGTTTATGGTTTGGGGTTTAGGGTTTAGCGTCGAGGGTGTAGAGTTTACGAGGTGCGGCTGAGGGTGTCAGGGGAGGATATGCCTTTACGCAACCCGAACACCATCCCCAACCTAAAGCCTCAACCCTAGATTCCTAATTACCCAACAGGGTTAAGGGTTTAGGGTTAAGAATTGCTGGTGAAAAAAGAGCCATTCACTGCCTGAAGTGCCTTCGACATGCATGCGTTTCTTGAGTAGCTCCTGTCCACAATCGGTGAAGGCTAAGGCGTTCAACACCCCGGACGATGCCAACAAATTGCAAGCCGAACCCTAAACCCTAAACCCTAAACCCTAAACCCTAAACCCTAAACCCTAAACCCACAGAGCCCTCAAAGCCCGAAAGCCCCAAACCAAACTCATCGTGCTCCGGGGCCCCTGGCAAGCGGTCTTTGTTGTCCACACTGCTCTTCTCCTGCGAGGCTCGAGTCAGCTGTTCGGGTTTAGGGTTTCGGGTTTCGGGTTTAGGGTTTAGGGTTTAGCTTTTGTTTAAGAGGAGAAACCTCTGAGGCTGAGCTAAACCTCGCCTCAAGACAAAGACTGCCCTGACTCCCTTTAGTGACCCTCCAGTGCTAAAAAGGCCCTTCAGTCACCCTACAGTCCTTACAATTTGGGATATTCCCCCTCAGACTAGCAGTCCTTGACAGGGATGATCATAGGGGGGGGGGGGGTAGTATAATCCCCATTAAGGACTTTTCGTATAAGGGGGAACATCCCAACTTACAATCCTTCAGGGCCTGAACCCTGCGGTGGCAACTTCCAGGTCCTGCTCCCGACCCGCCAGATCCACGAGCTGCACTTGGGCCATCTGCCTGACTCAGCCGACGCTTTACCCCAGGGTTAGGGTTTAGGGCTTAGGGCTTAGGGTTTAGGGTTTAGGGTTTAGGGTTTAGGGTTTAGGGTTTAGGGTTTAGGGTTTAGGGTTTAGGGTTTAGGGTTTAGGGTTTAGGGTTTAGGGTTTAGGGTTTAGGGTTTGGGGTTTGGGGTTTGGGGTTTAGGGTTTAGGGACGTCCGTTGCATGCTTCGCCCTAGTTACTCGCTGGGTCGATCTTTTCATATTTGGGTTTACGAAAATGAGGGACCCCTTAATACAGCCCCCAAGCAGTAGGATTCCCGTATAACTCTATTGACGGCACTTTCTCCTCCAACGTTGATAGAAAACTTGACTTGGCGGGATGGTGAGTGAAGCGGATGAAGCTGGCATAGCACAAAGAGCGCCGAGCTTGCAACTCGTACAGAGTTTTTGCTTTAGCAACAGGCCCATCCGTGTGACCTTGGTAACCTTCTCTGGCACTTCAGCATTACAAGGCTTTCGGCCTTTCTGATGCTACACCGTGCTGAAGATGCTTGGAACGCACCCGAGGCAGAGTGTCATGTAGGATGAGCCCAGATCAAATCCCGACACTCGCTTACACATCGTAAGCCCTGAAGCCTCAAGTTTGAAAACCATGTTGCAGCAGGTGGTTCAACTTTACGGAGCTCTTGGGTTGAGGATGCCAACCCTACACCAAACGTGTCGCAGGCGACGTTTCACCATCCTTGCCCGTCTGTTCGAAGCGGAAGGTGAAGACCTTCAGAACACAGCCAGACGTATCCAATCCTTAACGCTCACAAACCCAAAAAACCCTCAAGACAACCACAGGTCACGCCAGTGCCGGGTTTCTCTCATCCTCAAGCTAAACCCCCACCTCTACCCACCTGCGGAGCTGTGGGCTAGGTGAGGGCTGAGAGCAACTGTTCAGGGCTTTCAGCTGGTTTACCATGCGCACAGCCCCGTTTAAATCACTCTCAACCCCTACCCTCGGCCCCAAAACATCGGTAGTCGCTAAACTGACAACTTGCACAACCTGTCCAAGAAACCCACAAACATGGAGAAAGCGCAAGCCAGGCACCCCAAGCCCGTAATTTCGAAGCCCTAAACATCCCCCCAAAAAATGTCCACCAAAATCTCACATGGGGGTGTCCGGTACCTTGTTGGGGTCCTTATGAACAGGGAATCCCACTACTTGGGGATCTATATTGGGGGTCCCAAATTTTCGTAAACCCCCTAAACCCTAGACCCTAAACCCCAAACCCCACATCTCTCAGCTCCAGGCCGTGTGCGCGCGGCTGGAGCGGTGGTTCATCGAGGTGGAGGCGATGCTGCGCATCCTCCCCCCCAGCATTCGCTGGCTTTGGTGGTTTTGGGGTTTTGGGGCCTAGGGTTTAGGGGCTTAGGGTACCCGAACGAGTGGAGAGGCTTGGGGCTTCGGATGTCAGGGCGCACGGAGAAACCACATGGCAGAAAATGGTCTCAACTTCAATGAGGGTACTTCGAACCAGTGCCAAGCAAAGCTATTATTGAGCTCCGTAAGGCTTTCATTTCGATTCCAGCATTCTGAGAGCCAGATTTTTGTTGTGCGCAATTTGATTGGACTCCAAACGCCACAAAGGAACATCTAACTAGAACCTAAATAGACCCTATTCTAGTTGCTAAGGCCCCTCTAGCAGACACCTCCATTCTCTTTCATACCCCTCTCAGGTCCTTGTCCCGAAGTTTACCAGCTCCATGGCCTTCGCAGAGGGACAGGGCTTGGGGTTTGTGGTTTGAGGTTTGGGGTTTAGGGTTTAGGGTTTAGGGTTCAGGGTTTAGCGTTTAGGGTTTAGGGTCTAGCGTTTCGGGCTTGGGGTTTATGGTTTGGGGGTTTAGGTCCCGCACATGAACCCCTGGTCCAAGGCCTGTCGCGCAAGGCAGGGTTCTGGATTTTGGTCTTGGCTGAGGGTCCAAGATCCAGGGCAGAAGCCGTGCGAAAAACTCGACAAGCACATTCGTTCAGAAGCCGTATTATGCACCGGGCATCACAGCGCTCAGCGCTGACATCTGGGGCTTGGGGTTGAGAGATCTCAGGGTTCTTGAGTTGTGTTCCACCTGCATGGTGAAATCCCAAAATCCTGTCGAACGAAGCTTCAAGCCGCTTCGCAGTGCGTTGTTCTGTTCTAGGGCAAGGGATCACAAAGCACAGGGTGAAGCACCTAACCAAGAAGAATGCATGGAAGCCCCAAGATATTATTCAAACAGTCCTCTAAAGCTTCACCAGGGGCTGTCTCTCTAGGCTTGGGGTTCGCTTCAGGGTCCTTGCACCGTTCTCGAGCTTGACAACAACCCCAAGCCCAAAGGGAACTAACTGCCCTAAACCTTAAACCCTAAACCCTAAACCCTGAACCTACTGCAACTTGTGACTCAAGATCCCAAACCCTACTTGCCCTAAACCCACTCTTAGGGTTTACGGGTCGGGCTTCTTGAAAGCCACGCCTCATCAATGTTCGATGCGGATGACTGCGTGAGGTCGTTGATCATCTGCCAGGCATGCTGCGGATGCTGACGAGGAACACGAACATGGGCCGACCCTTGCGCCTTGAACCTTGCTTGAGTCTATTTGGGTTTACGAAGATACGGGACCCTGAATATAGATCCCCAAATACTAGGATTCCCTTGTAGTACGGACCCAAGAAGGGACCCCCTAATTTCGAAAACCACCATAACTAGAAGTCTGGACAGGAATTTGGAGCTGAGGACCCTTTTGAGAGGTCGAGGTTCAAGCGTGGGAGTTAGACTTGCTGGCTGCGGGAAAGAAGTCTGGCGACTTGAGAAAGACACGGGCTCTCTGTTGCTAACTTCGAATTTCCTTGTGGATCGAAAGTAGCTATCCCGGGGTTTAAGGCTTTGGGTGCAGCAACAAAGGCGTGCTAGTCGGGCCGGCTAGGGCAAGTGGCCTTAGGGATCCTCTTCCTGGAAGCACTTGGTTTGAATCATCTGGCTTGCTGGCTTTCCAAGACGACAAAGGTCTGCCAAGGACCCGCAGAGACGAAACCCCAAGTTTCAAAAGTAGTGACCATGCCTCCCAAGCTATGTACCCGAAAGGGATTGCGACACAGTGTTTACACGGAAGTCGTAAGCCCAGCATCCTTTTGAATCACATGTTCAAGTGACAAACCCCTAGACCCCAAGCCGCAAAACAAGGCAGTTTTCCCCCAAAGTTTTGGAGCCAAAAGTCTGAGCACGCTGGTTTCAGAATTGAGATGGGTTGTTGGTCTGAATTACTATAGGGTCCTTAGTTATTAGAATGGGGGTTTTCTACGATGATTGTATAGGGGCCATAGGGGAATATTATTGCAAATTAATCCGACCCCGATTTATGATGTGCCCCTTTTTTAAGTTTGAGGGTCAAGGACAGCAGGCATCGAGAAGTGTTGCTGCAGCTGCGACGATGCGAAGAAGATCTGGTTGGTTCAAGGCCCACATGGGCTTAGGGTTTGGGTTCAGGGGCTTAGGGTTCTGCAAAAGCCTGCTCTAGCTGCTGAACTAAACGTGCGCGGCTCGACCACGCCGAGGGTCGGGTGATAGCGGACCTTCAGGCGAGCAGCACCATCCCAACACAACCCCAAACCTGGGTGCGGAAATGGTTTCGGGCAAGCTTCGGCTGGGGAGGGTGCTGCTTGATTTTTTTGGGGGGGGGGGGGGGGTTCCAGAATTAGGGGGTACCTTGTTGCGGACCTAAAAGCCGAACTGCGGAGAGCTTTCAGGTCTCTTCGGGCTGCAACGCCATCGGCACGGTGCGGCAAGAAGGGTTTAGGGTTTAGGGCTTAGGGTTTAGGGTTTAGGGAAGCCCAGGCCACAAACTGCCGTCACAGAACAATGCGTCTCCAAGACGTTAGGGTTCAGGGCTAGTCAAAAACTTTACGGGTTGCCATTGTTCGAAGCACAGGCGTCGAAGGCTTCTAAGATTCTAAGGCTACTTTTCTTCTTGGAGAATCTACTACATTTGAAGCACACGCGTTGAAAGCATCTAAGGCCATCTTCTTTGCTCGGGGAATTGGAACTCGAAGCAGTTGTGTTGACGGCATCTGAGGTCACCTTCTCTCTTTTCGCTCAGAAGCTAAACGTCCGAAGCACGTGTGTTAAAAGCATTTAAGGTCATCTGCTCTGTTGCTTGGGGAACATCCTAAACCCTAAACCCTAAACCCTAAACCCTAAACCCTAAACCCTAAACCCATTGGAAGCATCCGCGCTGCCGGCATCCAAGGTCATGGTTGAAGGCATCTAGGTTCTTCTTCGTTTTGGCGCAGGGAACTTGAATTGCAAGCAGCTGTGCTGAAGGCATCTAAGTCACCTTCTCTACCTTCCTAGATTCGAAGCACAGGTGCTGAAGGCATCTAAGATGATCTTCTCTTGTTGCGTGGGTTCTTTCTCTTCAAGCATGGGTGTTGAAGACATCTAAGGTCATGCGCTCTTGGTGCCCAGGGAGTCCTGAATCGAAGCCATCCAACTTCGCACTCTCTTCTTCTTGAGAAATATTATTATCAGCATGGGCGTGGACGGCATGTGAGCAGCTCGGTCGGATTCTCTGCGAGAGCTGGGGGAAACTCCGGATACTCCAGGCGGGACTCTCGGCTCGGGCTTTTGACTGGGGGATTCTCTGCGTGGCCCGGGCGGAGTAAGTTTATCCTACATCCCACGCTTCTACGGTGGAGAAGAACTGAAAAACACTCACGGCACAACACACCTGGGCAAAAAACAAACTTAATAACAAAGAAAACATCCCCCTAGGCATGGGCCTGCAAGGCCTCACGAGGCGCACCGACCTGTCGCGATTGTCAGGCTTCGGAGCTCTTGGAATTCTGAGGTTTTAGAGTTTAGGACCATGGCTGCTTTCTTGTTTTTTTTTTTTTGGGGGGGGGGCTTTGGCAGAAATGGAGGCGCTCAAGGCTTAGGGTTCTCATAATCCGTGGCTTTCCTTTCTGCACTTTGGAGGAAAACACCTCCCAATCCTAAAAGCTCGACCCGAAACACATGTACATACATTACTTGAACTTCAATGCTGGACAAGTGCTTTGCGAATGGGCACGCGGCACATTTCCACATGGATCAGCAAACTTCTCACAACAAATTACAATGTTAACGTCCTGAGCGCGTAGTGAATGAATACGTACAGTGGAAGCCTGGCGAGTTCATGTCTTATGTCGGTTGACTGGTAGTGTGAAACCAATCCGCGCCAGGTGGGTTTAGGCACATGTAAAAAGATGCAAACTCATAAACTCATTTTCTGGAAGGAAGGATGACTCACCACTCGGCAGCATGTTCCGCAGGCAGGGAATTCAAGATCCGAAGATCCGCGCCCTCTTCATCCAACTCTTCGCCCAGAGCTGGAGAGCCCATCCACAGCTGCGACTACAATGCACGAGTGGCTCTGCTCGAAAGCCAGCCAACCATATGGGTTCATTTTGAGACTGAGAGAATGTGAACTTGATCTCAAGGACCTGCTGAGGAGTTTGAGACGCTTGGTCCGTCTTGATATTTGGGGGGTTTACGAACATAGGGGACCCCCTAATATAGGTCCCAAACAGTAGGATCCCCTTATCATGAGGACCCCAAGAAGACCCCCTTAACTTCGGAAACCCCCCAGCTGTTCGTAGTGACTTCGAGCTGGTTTCGTCCGCCAGATCGGGACTCAGCCGGGCCCCTCTGGCCTTGTAAACCCCCAGCCCCAAACCGACCCAACAGCCTTGGGCGGAATGAGGAGGTCGTGGATATGCTCATTGAAAATCTCAAGGTACCTCCAGCCAGAGGGCTCGGGGTTTAGAGTTCAGGGTTTTTAAGGGTTGAGTCTTGAGGGCTTGGGGCGTAACGTTTTGGGGATGCCGGGATGGCCATGCAGCCATCTGAAGGATGATCGAACCACAGGCCCTAAGACCTTGAACCCCAAGCCCTAAGCCGTGAACCTCTGTGCTGGTGTTGAGTGCAAGCTTTCGTTAATGTCGGTGCTGGCGAGTTGTTAAAAGCCCTTAGCCCAAAACTCGTCAGCGGCGCTGACTTTGCAAGAGGCTACTACTGGTAGCAGAGGGTCTAGCCAGGGGGACTTGCTGTAGGAGCATTTAAGGTTCTGATGCCACGACAGGTGGGGCACGAAATCTGGAGGGAGCTCTTCTTGTTGGAGTCTGCCTCCTTCCGACGGCCGGGGATTTCGGATGGTGTTGACCCCTGTGAGGAACCAACGCTCTTCGATGGCGAGAGTTGAGAATCCAAATTCAAAAGCAACGAAAGCTCATGCCTTGCAAAGTTGTGGGGGCATCCTGAACCCACTCCCAAGCAAAACGCCCACCAACACCCTACCCAAAACCCAAAACCCTTTGACATCTTTGACCCATCTTCTACAACTCTTAGGCAGCTTGAGCAGATGGCAGCTTGAGACCCGGCAGCTTCAGACGCCTTCAGACCCCTTACTTGGGATGTTCCCCCCTTATACGAACAGTCCCTCATAGGGATCATAGTACCCCGTACTATGATCCCTACGACCCAAGTGGTGCCCCTTCTTGCCCTGTTTGAGTTCCCTTCTAGACAGCACCCCATATTAGAATCCCTCTGTTAGTACAAGGGGAACACCCCAACCCCTTGTACCATGTTGAGCGCACCATTTATTTGAAGAGCATAGGATTTGTGCGTGTTGTGTGAATGCATTTCGAGTTGCCACACAGGGCCCGAGGTTCCTGTAGGAGCAAGGGGGCCGAAGAGCCAAACACCCGGCGTGGCAGCAATGAAGCGTCCATGGCAACAAACGATGGTCCATGACATGAGCCGTTGGCAGTATAGGAAGTATATGCAAGCCCTCCGACGTGCCTCCGAACAGTCCCATGCAGTTAACTGGGATGCGGCTAGTGATCCTGATGGGGGCCCTGACCTCTCACATACCAAGACCTACCCTCGGATCCAAAGCCGCTCAGTAGGGGGGTTTCCGAGATTAGGGGTACCTTGCTATAAGGGGATCCTACCCCTAAACCCTAAACCCTAGACCCTAAACCCTAAACCCTAAACCCTGGGGTCCCCTATTTTCGTAAAGCCCCAGTGGGGTCAAGTGGGTCAGGGAGCCCAAACCACCCCGGGGCCTTGGCGGCATCCTGGGCTTGGCGAGCTTGTTGGAGAGTTTAGGGTTTAGGGTTTAGAGTTTAGGGTTTAGGGTTTAGGGTTTGGGGTTTAGGGTTTAGGATTTAGGGTTTAGGGTGTAGGGGCAGGGCTGAAGGGTCTCTGAAGGGAATTGGGGAGAGCTTTTGCTTAGGGCTGAAGCAGCGTTGCCTAGGGCCCCGTGGTTGACAAAAACCCTAAACCCTAAACCCTAAACCCTAAACCCTAAACGCTAAACCCTAAACCCTAAACCCTAAACCCTAAACCCTAAACCCTCAAGGTTTGCGTTCCATCAGAAGCCTTGGGGTCTCTTCTCGGTTTCAGAACCTTGGGCTTCTAGCAAGCCCGAGGCCTTCCACTCTGCAGTAGGCAAACCATTGACCCGAAACAACAGTTTAGGG